CATTGCACATCGTTGTTGCCTTTCATTCTCCTTGGGCGTTGTCATTGCCTCGTTGTTGTCTCGTCGGCAAGCATTGTTGACATGTCATCGTGTCGTCGTTGTCGTCGTGTTGTTGTGTTGTCCGCATCATGCGTCGTTGACACGTCGTTGTGTCATTGTCGTTGTGTTGTTGTGTTGTTCATGTCGCGTGTCGTTGACACGTCGTTGTGTTGTTGTTGTCATGTTGTCATGTTGTTGTGTCATCACGCCGTCTGCATTGCATGTCGTTGACACGTCATTGTGTCGTGTCGTCGTGGGTTGGTGGGCTGTCGTGGCCGTTTGTGGGTGCTGGTGGGCGTGGTGGGCCATCAGTGCGTGTCGTCGTCTGTTGGTGGTCAGATGAGCTAGGTTGGGGTGGGATGGTTAGGGTGGGTCTGGGCACTCACTTTGCGCAGATGACGTCGCCGTCGGATGACGCTGGATTGTTGTCACCGCTGGGGATGGATGATGGTTGAGGAAGAGAGACGTGGATCATTGATGATGGGAAAATCACTCATCGGCATTTGCCAATGACCATTCTAGGAAGGCGGTCAAATAGTAGGTATGTATAATGCAAAACACCTATCTACATCAAAGCTGCCTTAGTCCAGCTGGTTCAGCGTTGTGTTGAATATTCTTCAGTGCCTGAGGTCCAGTGTTCAATTCCATGGTGTTGCATTTTTTTATATTATATAATTATAATAAGAACAGTCTGTTGGAATTCCGTTGGACTTCCGTTGGACTTCTGTTGGATTTGTCCACTGGAATTCCGTTGGTGCTTGCCTGTCATTTCCAGTGGACTGGCTGCTAATTTGCTGTTAGTCCGTCAGAAGTCCATTGGAAAAGTCCAACGGACTTAGAGGTCCGACCAGAAATGCTCGGAAAAGCTTTGGACATTCAACGGAAAATTGCTGTAGTTGCAAAGCAGAAAAAATGTCTGTTCTGAATACCCTCAGTCTGATGGAGTCTGGCCGGAGTCCACTCGGAAAAGTAGTGGCAGCGTAAAGACCTCCAGTTACCACTTAATAGGTTTTATGACATGTGAACACCACATTTTATTTCCAGTATGATGGAGTGTTTGTTTTATTTCCAGTATGATGGAGAGAAATCTCTTCAAAGTCATTTTCTTGGTGATTTTTCCCAGTGACAGGAGAATGGCATCAAGCACCATCCAAGCCCCAGGCTCATACTTTTCAGTGACAAATAAGCATAGTTTAAAGAGAGATAGACAGATAGCTACTTACCTTCATAATGTGGAAATAAAGTCTTTTAGAAATGCAAGTTTAGTCTTGGCTTCTCCAGGGTCATTCTCATAAAGTTGAAGCTATAGCCTAACAATGTAACAGTTTCCAAGTTTCTTAAGTTTCTGGTGAAATTTAAGGACACACCTATAAGAGTGATAGCCATTTGGACAAGAGAGACAAGAAGAATAAGACACAAATGCTCAGCAACATAAAAGATCAAAAATATTGAGTCACAGAAATGCAGCTGACAGCATGAAGGGATGTTCAACTGCTATAAAGGGGCCCTCTTTATCCAGAATCTTCATGATCCAGACACAGTGGAGAAGAAGTCCATCACTGCAGTGGCAGCCTACTTCTTTTATGTACAAGCATCTCAAGCAAGCTTATCCATGTAATTAATCCTGCCAAACTCACGCTCTGAATGAGCCCTTGTTTCTCAGAATCCTTAGACTATACACATCTCCCATGCTGTCCTTAAAGAACCCTCCTCTATAATGATGCACTAGGACTGACTAGATAATGCTGATAACTGTACTTCAGACCCCCACTTCCTTCTATAATATTACTGCACCTGAACTCATGTAGCTATACTCCCTTCACTGTCCTGACTAATTTTAGGCAACTACTACACTTAGGTTATTAAATGATTAGAATCACTACAAGCCTCTCACTCAGCCTCCAACTCAGTGCCCATTTACTCCCAGGTGTGCTAACCTACACAAATACACTGGCTTTGTACTCAAATATACAATGCTCAACTGGCCAAAGCTCCCTCCCATCACCTTGACATTACCTCTTCACAGAAGAATTCAACTCTGCCTTCAATCCTCTTTATCTATCATCTCAATCACCAATGTATCCTCTCCTGGCCCTTGTTCTCCTTATTATCTTATGTTATACCATCAACACCATTCCCCATTCATTGTTACAGATTTTACAAATATTTACCAGGCAAAAATTTGGGTATTACTTACAGGATGGTCTGTTCTTTTGCATGGGTGAGCATGCCACCCAGAATCGACACTACCCAGAAGCATTATATGCCTGTGTTTTGTTTTCAGACAAGCAGAAATGAGTGATGTTAAAATTACTCATGTCTCACCATTATATGGTGCAACCCCACGTCTCAAGCCCACCCTATCCAATGATTAAAAAATACAAAAAATGAAACTGCTGATAAGAGCACTAGTGGCAGAGGACATCATGAAGAAGGCCAGAGACTGTATCAACTCCAAGGCCTTGATGAGGTTGTAAAAAACTGCCATGATTGTCCAGCTAGTGTCAAACAAGCATCCAGCTGAGTATCACCAAACAGAGCTGACTGAACATATGATAATAAGTGGGGAGCGGCAACCGTGCCAATAAAATCATGCTGTTTGGTTCTGTTTGTCTCACGCCAAATAGTCGAATTCAGTGGTCGACGACTGTTATTTCACTTCAATCGATATGTAGGGACCAATTTACAAGTCTATGTTGTTTGTGGTGATATATAATATACTATTATGATTGAATTTAGTAGCCAAGTTCTATATCTGTGTCACTATACATGTTAGATGCATTTTCCTCTGGAATGTAGCTTTCCTATTCACTCCTCACGTCGAGTTGAGCTTCAAGCTCCTGCTGGTTTTGAGCTTTAGACATTCATATTGTGTTCTGGTCTGTTCTCCAAGTTGTCAGAGTGAATGTTGCAAAGGTTTGTCATTGACTGGGAAGTTTGCAATGTCAATCATGACTTCCGGCCCAGTTTCCAAGTGTCTTTGCCCATGATATAAGATACTTGTGGTTAACAAGTCAATATATGCAGAGGTAATGACGATAACGCGTTGCTGACGCCGATAGTCGTGCTTTGGTCGTGCTTCAGTTACTTTCTTTATTGCAAAACGTGATCATCGACGCGTCTTACCATGCCATTCCCCCATCATGGATTGCTACCTCATCTGTAGAGGTATTCTTTCAAATTTTTGCAGGCACAAACTCATGGAGCATAGGATGGATTTGTTCAGGACAGAATTTTATAAAGGGGTTTGGAAGGCTCGAAGTAAGATATTAACTGACAGAATATTTGTATTTTTGTGCTAAATTGTATACGAGCACCTTTACTTATGCTCCACCTACATATATCCACACTTAAAGTGGCAATCTACTGTTGTGTTGAAGTAAATATGAGCAGTTGAGACGATCAACCATTTTTTGATAAGGTCTTTGGTGATGGGAAAATACGGCAGAGTTGAAAATTTGGCAGTGGGTTGCCGCTCCCCATAATAAGATGCCATCAATCATCAAGCAATTCACATCAGAAAAATCACTTCTTTCTCAGGGTTATACCCTGAATACCCAGGAGGTGTTGTGGAGCTCAAAGCATCTGAGTTCCCTGAAGCATCTTTTAGATTTCTCAGCAGCAACCTAAGGTTGTCCTGAGGTGCACTGAGGTTGGCCTGGGGTGGCCTGGGTCGTCCCTAGAAAGCCCTGAAGCAGACTTTATGTTAATTACCTGGCCTTCAATTTTCCTCACCACACTATTTTTAAATACATCAAATATATATTAAACATATTCAACTAGTGTACAAAGAGTAACTTGATCTATGGAAGATAAATGTTCTCATAAGGGTTGTGGTACACAGGCAAAGGTAGGTTGCATGGTAGATAGATTTGCATGATGGGCAATTTCTGCTTGAGCATGGTTGTACTAGGTAGTGGTAGGTGTTTGCATGTTGGGTGAATTCTGTTTTAGGGCAGTCATTGCAGGTGATGGTGGTGGGCAGTTTCCATATAAGGATGGTTGTACATGGGTGGTGGTGGGTGTTTGCATAGTGGGCACTTCCCATTTGAGGTTGAGTTGAAAAGAGTCAGCCACTGCCTTCTTGTGTGGGCCAAGACACAGAAGATTATAAGGTGTTCAGCATGCTCATGTGCTGCTTCAGCGTAACAGGGTGGAGCTTGTTTCTGTGAGTTCATCACTGCTACAGCCATCACCTTATGATCATCAGACAATGTTTGCTTGAGTGCATAGAAAAACTCATATAAATGAAATTGTGCCTCATCTGAGTGGTGCCATCCTCCTTGACATCAACACCTGCATCTAATTTAGGCTTTGCAGTCAGCGCAATGATGCCTGTTTGATTTTTGTAAGGAATTTCAATTGTATATTCTCAACCAGTACCATGGTTAACTTTGTCAGCATTGATTTTTCTCTCAAATGCTATCCCCTTGCTGCTTCTGTCATAATCCTCAATGTTTAGCTTGTAAATCAGTTAGTGTATTTTGTGATTGGTTGCTCAACCCAGTTGTACTATCTGCAAAGTTAATAACCATTTTGCTCACTACAAGGTACTTAACCCACCATCCAGTCACCCAAAGTTTTAGTTTATATTTCAACACTTTCCTAGCCCCCACGATGCCTTGCATGTTGGCCCACTGCTTGGGTCCAGCAAAGAGAAAATCACTCAGTTTCGATTCTAACCATCCTGTAAGATACCTTAAGCTAGAGAAAATATTGAGATACCCAGCTTGTTGTGCACAGTCACATCATTGCCAAATGGCATAGATAAATCTTTTTCACCTTGGTGGGCCTTCTTCATTCTGGACTTAGATGTATCCACAACATAGCACACAAAGCACCGACGGTTGCCTCATGCCTTCACAGTGCTTATTTGAGGGTGATTAAAAATTTCATGTAGTTGTGGCAAGTCCCTGTTATACCAGAGGTTAAACACTGGCACCTCACTATAGACAGTGGATGAGGTGTTCACCAAGCCACTGTATTGTCTGACAGGCATGTGGTAGGTAGAGTCCTCTATACTATGAGATCCCAGTTTTTTAAACCCATATTTTGGTGGTGGGGACCACCAAGACCTCATTATGATTGATCACATTTAAAAGTAGAAAACTAATAATATATACCTGTCTTGGAATCCCTTTTCATAACACCTATGATGTAGTGCTATTCTGATAATAGTTATGGGTTACAAATAGGACATGTGTTGCAGGATGTTGCACTATGGGTATGGTATGTGAAAATCATAAAGCAGCAAGTGTAGGTGGGCTGAATGGTTTTTGTAGCAGTGGTGATGGTTGGTTAACAGTATAGAAAGTGGCAAACAGTAACAGATGTTGTTTTTCATTGTTTGGTTGCAACATTGCTGATGTGGCACCTAGATTTTATACCAGAAAAGAAAGCTGGAGAGAGGTGTGTGATTACTCATCTATCCACCTACCCTATGTTATGTGGTGGTGGTTGTGGTGGTAGCAGTAACAACTGAAATAAGCAGATTCTTTGCCAGTAATTAGTTCATAGCCCTTGTAGAGCCTCATTTTACAAAAGTCTGTTAAGAAGTTTACAAATCTAGTAAACAAGAATTTGTGCTTGCCAACATCCAAGATAAGATTTCTAATATGTGAAGTAGAAAAGGCTCACCTACCAGCATTGGTGACTCTAATACATTTGTCAATCATCTCACTCTTCATTCACCTGCAGTGTTCTACAACCAATTTGCCTGGGTGCATTATGTTTTTACCCAATTAATCGTCATTTTGACATTTTTCCAGTATTTTGGTGAGAATGATACATGTAAAAAACTTGAGTAGCAGAGAGGGTTTATCAGCTTGCTGGTTACAGTTGGTATAGTTTATCTGGGTGCCACTGCTTTCCCTTTCAAGCACTTCACATCAATACCAACCATTACAGGATTGATGCTGATGAAGCAACTTTAAATGGATGGTACATGTTATATCTCTAGTATAGGTTGAAGTTCCATGAAAAGAACTAGCTATCTTTGAAGTTGACAGTGACTTTATATGATATTAGATAGCAAGTTCTTTTCAACATCTTCAAACCAGACTTTCAAACCAGACTTTATAAGCAATGTCAAATCAGGGGTACATAAAATATGACAACAGTGAAGTAGCTAGCTGCCGCTGTAAGGATTTTCTGCAGTCTCAGTTTGAGCATACAGCACCATTGGATGCTAACTCTGTCTGTAGAAACTATAAATGCTGAGGCCAGAAATACCACAGCTTTCCTCATGTGAAAAAGTGTCAGATACAAAATTGAATGGTTCTCAAACACAATCAGTTCCCCTGAGAAGCTATACATGTACCAAGAGAGTCATAGCTTCATAGATTGAAGCCAAATGTCTATAATCCTCTCAGAGAATGCAAAAAATTGATGTGCAAAGATACTTACCACTTGCCACCTCTAAATGTGATCTCAAATCTCATTCCTACTCTTGCTGGCAAGAGCAAACATATTTTTGAACATCTGGTGATCTATAATGGCCCTGAATCATAAAAGAATCTCCTTATTCATTGTGTTTAAGAGCTTGGTCCTAGCATCTTAACCTCTACTCTTAGCTCAAAAATGTCATCATTACCACTGTCATCTGGCACTTCATTGTGAGTGCCAACCCACATCCCTTGATCTACTCAGACAGACTTTGTTTGGTCCTGCCAAGCCCAACCTCTTCTGGCTCAATTACTCCCATCTCCGGTCAGTTCTGTCAGCACATGACCTTCAACATAGACTTATTTCATGTTTACTAGCGGGTACTAGAGTTGGCAGATTAGAAAGCAGTATGGAGGTCATCCAAACTAGAAATGGCAGCTTAGAAAACAGTATGGAGGCTGTCCAAACTGATTTGAAGGCTGTCCAAACTGAGTTGAAGGTGGTCCATAGAACCATTCAGAATGGTATGTATTTCATTTCTTCAACTTACAATCATGTCCTAATTTTGCTGCTACTATAGTTGAGCTTTTAGCCAGTGTTATAGCAGTCATATATGCTATTAATTCATTACACTCACTGGGCAGATGGTAAGTTTTCAACATCTCCTTTATAATGTCAGACTGATGATATGGCAAACTCATTAGATGGGTAGATAGAGTGCTTGTATCCCAACATTTTGAGTTACTTTTTATCTTAAGCATTCCAGAATATCATACCTTGATACTGCATTTGTACTGCATAATGAGTGAAAGATATTGATGATGCTGGTGTGATAACTTATATAATGAAAAGTGTTTGGCCTGTTCAACACATACATCCACCATCCTCTCCGCCACCCACACTTGCATCCACTTTGGCCTCACCCCTCCACTCCCCAGTATATTCATTGATTTGCTACATCCACATGCCAGAAGGGCAAACCCAAAGGGTTTCCTTCTACCAAACCTCAAGCTCATCCACAACACTGGCCCAATCATGCATGGATTTTGGCTGTTCTCATACCAAGGCCAGTTAAGGTGGCTAAACTTGAAGTGGTCTCAATATACAGTGATGATCAAGTTGTCAAGAGATGTTCAACCATCCATGCTCTTCAAATAAGTACTTGACCCCCCGAGGGGACTTTGGCAACCTTACAGGCTCTGGATTTGGCGTGTGGCTGCATCATGACAAATCAAACCACTTTCTGACCTGCCCTCCCATCAATGCATGTTAATGGAACGCATTTGTGGATTTCCACCTTGATAGGGTGGCCCATACATTCCTTGAACAACATGCTGAACTCCAACTTGCCCTCATCCATAGCTTCAATTGCCAAAGCTACCTCCCAGGATTCCACTGTATGCACATTGACATCTTGGTACGTGCTATTTATCCAGAATTTATGTAAGCATAACCAGAAGCAATCAAAAAAAATCGATATTGAACTCACTTTAGTAGGTATTCAAACCTCATTTGACTGATTCCCATATTTGGCAGTAAATGTTTGATATGTTAAGAAATCCATGCCTTCTGGGAGCCACAATTATCCATGTTGTAGTGTAAGCAGTCCCTAGGATGTACAATGGACCACCTAAGCCAAAAGGCAGAATAACTGAGAAGTTACGTTCTCAGCCAGTGCATCCTATATATGATACAGTATGGGGACTGTAGTAATCATGCCATGATTACATGTAGCCCTTTACAGCAAGGTATGCATCGAGGAAAACTCGTAGGGTGATGTAGGTGAGGGTGCAAATGCAGTCATTGAACTTTTGGATGTCCATGTTAAGATGAGTATATTCATTTTTGAGGTGAGCATTGTCATCCTTCAGCAGCTGGATAACAGCATCCTGCTTTTTGAGTTGTTTTGTTGTGATGGTGGACTCCCTCATTAAGGCTTCCAGTTGCCATTTGAAGTGACTCATTGAGGTTGACATGTTGCTTGCTGCAGCATCTAGCATTTCAAATGTGAGTCAGAGGTTGGCTGCAGTGCTAACAAGGTCTTGTTCATGGCTTGAAGATGGCAAGAGCAAGGATAGATTTTCAAATGATGATAGAACAGTTGATTTTGCTAGGCCAACCAAGTGAAGGCGCATGGAGCCTGGTTTTATATTCAAGGATACACCATCTTTGTGAACCTTTTTAAGTTTGGTGATATTGATGTGTTGAGACCCTAATGATTCCAGGCTCCAACTTTGGCATGCAGGCTAACAGTGTGACAATTCCCTGCTTTGCTCCTTCAATGGAAACCACTTATTTTTGTAAATCCACCTTAAACAACTTCTGTAGTGTTGGATATACATACAAGTCATGATATTTAAAAAATCTAAGCTCATGGTTGTGTATTGGTTGAGATTGAAAAATGTGCCAACTCAGAGGGGGTGCCAAGGTACTGATAGGTCATAGTAGTGTTTGCTACTATCATTTATCCTCTGTCTTCCCAATTCTGAGTCTACACTGCTCTTAACTCTGCACTGTTAAACCTTTTGGACTTAACTCCATACTCATAACTTCTTGGACCTTTACCTTGAGTCTCTTGGACTTAACTCTGTATGCCTAACCTCCTGAACTTAACTCTGTATCCCAATATCTGCATGTCAACTCTATTCTAGGTTATGTCTTCTCCAGGCTAGTATCTACTGGTGGTATATGCATTGACCAGTACCCTTGTCTCTCTTTCTACTAAAGGAATAGGACAGATCCCAACATGAAAGGCTTTCCAAAAACATTTAGGTACTCAAAAAAAAAAAAAAAAAAAAGAAATGACAAGAAAACATGATGAATAGTTCACTTACACTTGAGAGGTGAATTTTCTGTGCTTTATGCAATACATTAGCATGGTAAGCAATGCCCAACAAAATCTTGGAATGGTGGGAAGCTTAGCTAAACTGTGCCCAACAAAGACTTCCCCCTAGTCCACACCTCACCCAGCAACCCCTTCACATTTGAATGACAAATCTAAAAAAATAGGGGGGAGTGCACAATTCATAAACCATAATTTTATAATGGTTTCTTCTCAAATCTCTGAGGGAGCTCACAAGAATTTCAAATCAGAAAATTATAGCAAAAGAAATATGATCCTTATTTGAATGTGGAAGCACTGTAAAGAGGTTTTTTGTTTTTTTGATCTGTGGTGCTCCAGTTTTAATATATTTGATAATAACTGAGCTGTTGAAAAACATTTGATGCACATTCTACTAATAGTTTTCATGTGGTCCTTTATACTATGCATTCTAATTGCAGTCAATGTTTGATGTTGGGCGTATTCTGAATTTACCCACCTGACAAATGTGAAGTAAATGTTGAGCAATAATGCCTCTAATCAACATGTGGTCCAATCATTTGTGTATTGGGCAAATAACTGCCTCTTCCTGGTGTTATATATCATATCTGTTGATTTTGAAGTACCTTTTATAATAACCTTAGCTGCTTTTCACCCAAAAAATTGGTGGGGTCACTGGGTGGAATTACTGCCCTTGCTGCTTATAAGATAGACATCCAACCACAACCACCACTAACCCAACCCCATATAATTTGTGGGGGCTCTTGGCACAAAGGCAGTGCACATGCTTTGCATGAACATAAATAGCTGTGCATGCTTGAGGCTGTGGGTTCAAATCCCAGAGTCCCATTATCATTACTCTCACTCTTTTTGGACATTTCCAGAGGAACCAGGTGACAACTTATCTTCTTACTTACATAGTAGAATTACAGGCCTCATGCATGAAATAAATTTGAACAAAACAGGATGGCTAACTTTATCTTTCAATCTTCCCTCCCTTACCCTTTTTCCTTTAGCTTGGCATCCTACACAGAAGAGGGCTCTTGGCACAGAGGTAGCATGCATGCTTTGCATGAAGAGCAATATCAGGTCAATTGCTGCATGCCTGAGGTTGTGGGTTCAAATCTCACAGTGTCCATTGTTTTGTTTTTTTGCTTTTGGATGTTGGATGTTGGCAAAGTGTTTTTTCTTATGGTAAAAACCCAACCTTGTCCTCATGCACAACACTCCCATTTTCTGCACAAATGGATTTAGAACTACCTTCTTCCTTAGCTTCCTCAATGTTACCTGGAAGGAAAGGCTCTTGGCACAGGGGTAGCACGCATGCTTTGCATGCATGAGGTAAAATCTCTAAATGTGTGCATGTGTGAAGTTGTGGGTTCAAATCCCAGTGTCCATTGTTTTTTTCTCTTTTTTTTTGATGTTGGAAGTTGGCAAAAGGTTTTTCTTATGGTAAAAACCCATTCTTGTCCCTCATGCACAACACTTCCATGTACTGCACAAATGAAATGGATTTAGGACTACTTATCCCTTCCTTCTTCTCTAGCTTCCTCATTGTTACAGGGAAGGAAGGGGCTCTTGGCACAGGGGCAGCACACATGCTTTGCATTAGGCCTCAAAGTTGAGAAAAATTTGATGCATGCATGAGGTTGTGGGTTCAAATCCCACAGTGTCCAATGTCCAGTTATTTTCATATGTTTTCATCTTGGACATTGGCAGAGGGTTGGAATTTCATGGTAAAAACCCATTGTTGTCATGCACAACACTTCCATGTTCTGTACAAATGAAATGAATTCAGGACTACTTTCTTTGAGTTTTCCTGTCCTTGTTCCTTGGATTCCTCAATCTTACCAGTTTAAGGAAGGGCTCTTGACACAGGGGTAGCACACACGCTTTGCATGACAGAAAATACTCCCAAACTTGTACATGTGTGAGGTCATGGGTTCAAATCCCATAGTGTCCATTGTGTTTTTTTTTGCTTTTGAACCTTGGCAGAGGGTTGAAAATTCAGTTTCTTACAGAAAAAAAGCCTAATTCTTGTCCTCATGCACAACACTCCTATGTAATAGATTTAATGTTCTATTGCTTGTTACTTCTATTCAATCTTCTCTCTTTAAGGGCTCTTGGCACAGGGGTAGTGTGCACACCTTGCATGGTAGTATGGCAACATAGTCTGCATATGTGTGAGGTTGTGGGTTCAAATCCCACAGTGTCCAATGCTCAGTTGTTCTCATATGTTTTCCTTTTGGACATTGGCAGAGTGTTGAAAATTCATTTTTTTACCCTATTCTTGTCCACAACTCCCATGTTTTGTATAAACAAAAAATATTTAATTTTTCCCATTCCTTCTTTCTTATCTTCATCAATGCTACTGAGAAGAAAAGGAAGGGCACTTAGCACAGGGTAGTGCACACACTTTGCATTGTTCAAACATTGATAATTCTTGTGTGAGGTCGTGGGTTCAAATCCCACAGTGTCCATTTTTCTTTTTCTTTTGGATGTTGGCAGAGGGTTGAAAATTCATTTTCTTATGGTGAAAACCTATTCATGCACAACACTTTCATGTTTTGTACTAACAGAATAAATTCAGGACTAACCTATTTTAATTTTCCCGGCCCTCCTCCTTGGATTGCTCAATCTAGCTCATCCAAGGAGGGGCTCTTGGCACAGGGGTAGCGCGCACGCTTTGCATCCCATTGAAAGATGACCTTGCATGCGTGAGGTCGTGGGTTCAAATCCCACAGTGTCCACTCTTTTTTATCATATTCTTACTTGGACGATAAAAAAAAACTGTAGCTTTTTTAATCAACCTCCCGACATTCAAAACGAAAACCAAAAAAAAAAACATAAAATTCTCTCTGATACAAAAAAACCTCCCTACCCCTAACCCGTCTTATTCTTACTCCTCTTCCCAACCTGCGCCTGAAACCCACTCTTAATAGCATTAACGCTCCTCCTACTCCCACAGCTCTCACACGCCATGAAGAAAATCCTATTCTCCTTTGTGAGAAGCGTATCGGGGGACTTGCACGTTTTACAGGTGACGTATTCGACCATGTATCGACGGAGGACGTTTTCGATTTGTTTTTGTTGGAAGCGGCCTTTGATGACGAGCCGGCCTGCGCCGTCGACGGAGCCTGTTGTTCCCATTTCGGCGAAGAGGAATTGGATGACGTGTTCCGGCTTTGGGGAGGGGGGGTGTGGTTAGTGAGGGGAAGGGAGGGAAGGAAAGAAGGGAGGGAGAGGAAGAAGACGAACCTGTCTGTGCATCTTCTTGCATATGTCTGTGACGTTTGCGAATATGGATTTCTTGTTTCCTTCTCGGAAGAGTTGGGGTGGGGCGATTGTGTACCGCTTTCGGGAGGATGTGGAGAGGAGGGCGGGGTTGGCTGCGTGGAGGGAGGCGTAGAACCTCGTTAGGAGCTGCGTACCCGTTAGCGACTCAACATAACAAGTACGAGGAAGGGGAGATGGACCTCGGGATAAGTATAATCACGATCACTCTTCAACCACGCCTCGGTCCCCGCATCCACACCGACGGGTGCGTCCCCCCCTTGCTGAGCGAACGGATCGTCCCCCAGCTCCGCCTCGTCGATGTGGTCGAGGTGCGTAGTATCTGGCTCTGGGCCGTCTTCGTCGTCTTCCTCTGCCGTGGTGGATTTGGCTTTAGAGTCATTAAGCTCCTTCTCGAACGCTTCCAAGTCGAACGCGGCTTTTTTCTTGGTGGATTTCTTTTTCTTTTTGAGGTCGGAAAAGTCGAGGTCGTCGGGTGTGATTGTAGCTGTTGCTGCTGCTGATGGTGTGGGTTCGGTGGTAGCAGCGGGTGTGGATGTTCCCGAGTCGTCTCCCTGCATTTCAATTCGAATTATTCATAAGTCGTACCCTATGTTGAATGTAATAGAAGAAGACGCACGAAATCCATAGGAATCTCCTTCTTCTTTTTCTTCTTCTTGATATCCCCAAACATAGTTTTGAAATCATCGTCTGCGGGCTTCTCCTTCTCCTCTTTCATCCGCTCATGAGCCGTCGTCGGGCCCAAATCGACGGGATCACCGTTGATAGTCGTTCCATCGATAGAATCTGGAGGGGGCGCTGTGGGGTCTGCGTCTGCGCCCAATGGATCTTCGGTGAACGCTACTGTTTTCTTTTTGCGTTTTTTGAGAGAGGGATCGAAAAGCGGTTCTTCGGACATGTTGTTTCGAGGTTGCAAGAGTTGGTTTTATAGCGCTGTAACCGTTGAAAGTGTCGATGATGATTAGATCTGCTCTCTGACTCACTTCAAACTCCGTCTCTAACACCGTGGGAATTTCCTCCGACCATCTCCGACTGCCAACAAACTTGGCCTACTCACCAACCTCTTCAGTGTCCAGCCATGCTCGCTCGTCGTTCTTTAGCCCGCGCCACGGCCACCGCGACGGTGGGCCCAGCTGCTGCGCCCTCACAAGCCCGCAACATGGCCACCCTCCGTGAAATCGAGCTGCGCCTCAAGTCCGTCAGGAACATTGAGAAAATCACAAAGTCCATGAAGATGATCGCTTCTACCAAGCTCGCAAAAGCCCAGAGGGCTATGCAAGCGGGTAAAGCGTATGGACTTGCCAACTCTGGTTCGTCCTCTTTTTTTTCTCTCTCGTATAGGAAGGACATGTAACGCGGAAACGAAACAGAGGTCTTCGCAAACGTCCCATCAGACAAACCAACCCCCAACAAACTCTTCGTCGTCATCTCTTCCGACAAAGGTCTCTGCGGCGGTATCCACTCCTCCGTCTCAAAAGCCACCCGCCGCGCATTAGCCAACGCCCCCGACTCCCCACTCGTCTCCCTCCCAGCCGAAGACGCCACCGCCGACCCCTCTTCCCCCATCATGGTCGTCGGGGACAAATCCAAGGGGCAGCTCATGCGCAACTACGGCGAAAACTTTCAGTTGACGTTTAACCAGATTGGGAGGGACATTCCGACGTTTGCGGACGCTGCTGCTGTGGCGGATATGATTGTGCAGAGTGGGGTCAAGTATGATTCGATTGTGGTTGTTTATAATAAGTTTGTGTCGGCTATTTCGTATGAGAGTGCGGTTTATGAGGTGAAGGGAGAGGAGGCGCTTAGGGAGAGCAGTACGTTTCCCCTTTTCCCTTTACTCTTCTTATATTGATGTCGGCTAGACGCGTTCAAGGTGTACGAAAACGAAGACAACGCCACTCGGGACCTGGCAGAGTTCTCACTCGCCAACGCGCTCTACGCTGCACTCGTCGAGGGACACGCATGCGAACAGAGTGCCCGCCGAAACGCTATGGATAACGCGTCCAAGAATGCAGGCGAAATGATTGGGACCCTGCAGATGCAGTACAACCGTGGCCGCCAAGCTGCCATTACGAATGAGCTGGTGGATATCATTACTGGTGCGTTTTGCCTGCTACTTCCCTTGCTATCCCATTGTTTTTATCTTCCCCTCCCCTTCAATGCTCTCCCCCCCTCCCTTCACGCATATATTGTACTCCGACACTTCTTTCTCTTTCCCCCTTCCACCGTTCTTTTCATCTCCCCCTTCCACCTTTACGCATATACTTTGCCCCTTCCCTTCCCCTTCCTTGTCTTGTCATCTGCCCATCTAACGCCCACCCCTTCCAACAGGTGCCAGCGCTCTGTAAGCGACGAGCATACATACGATACAAAAAAATCAGTAGATACCACCATCATCAGCGCTTGTTCTTGTCAACGCTTTTACAGACTTAACAAGATTGCTTGCTTAGAACTGCCAATGCTTATTAAGTGCCTGAACTGTGACTACGACCACTGCAAGCTTGAGTGGTCAATGTATGCGGTACGCCTGGTAGACTGCTGGGCATTTGGCTCTCGTTCAAGAGTGGGTTGCCTCAACATGCACGTCGTATGTGTCCTGGCCAGTGATAGTGTTGCTGGACTTCTTTGGTCTCGACTGTATGCATCCATTGAGAATCCCCAGACCATACTAACATGGAACAGGTCAAGTCGACGTCTAGTTACGTAATCACCAACTTGTCTAACGTCAATGGCCCACCCCCTTGACTGGCGTTCATCTACGCCGACTTGGCTAGGGTTCGTCTACGCCGACTTGACTGGCGCCGGCGTTCAGCTACACCGACTTGGCCAGCGTTCATCGTTCATCAGCGATTCCGTTTTGTCCAAGGCAAACGGTATACGTGATACTTGTATGGTTTACCCGACACGTTAGGCAGCTTAAAAGGACACTCCGTTAAAATCTACGGCATCTACATAGTATGATTTGCTAACTAAACAAACAGAACAACAGAGTCCTAAAGTACATACATAGGTGGTCTTACAAGTTTCTTAGTTTTGTGTTTGAACATTGCTCCTCCGAATCTCATCAACGTACAACATATAAATACTCGAGTTTCTCTTTGACCACGCAGTCTCAACAGCAAAAACGTTGAGTGAGGCCTTGGATTCTTAGACGTGGTCGTAGAGGCGCTGCTCTTTTCTAGTCTTCGTCATGGCTGAAAGAAGATCAGGAGGGGTCGAGTAGCTTGAGAAATCAGAAAAGAGTACCAGCAATGATGGCGCTCCCAACGCCACTCCCATCTTCCGCATGATGCGTCACAATCTTCCTGTCAAACCGGCAGGATATCATCAGTTCAAACCCTATCCTAGAACGCTTGAAATCTAACCTCCCCTTCTCTCCAAATATGTCAACAAGCCCCTCATGTACCCGATCTGCGAACCCAGGATATTTCTGCCCATGCAAGTTAACACCGTGCCAAATCGCTCAAAAACACCTCACTCACATTATATAAAGACCCATCAGCACCAACCTCACAACCCTCGCCATTGTCCAGGTATCCCATCCGTCCAACGATGGCCGCGATACCACAGGCGCTCAGACGCGCAGCACGTCGCCCAATGAGTTTGGCTAGGGCGCGGAAGAATTGGCGTTCGGCCAGGGTAGTTTCAACGGCGAAGAAGTGAGAAAAGATGCCGATGATCATCAGGAGTTCATCAGTTGGGTCACTGAGGAGAGGAGCGTTGTTACGTTGTGTGTCGAGTGGGAACAGAATAGAACGCCTCACCTCTCCATTAAAGACAGGAAAGCAGTGTCAAAGACGTAGGGGTTCTCGAGCTTGTACGTGTTCTGCCCTAGGAAGAGCACCCCCTCATCAACTAGCTCGCAGATTACGAGACGCAGGATTTCGCCAAGGTATCTCCCAGAGATGAGTTTCTAATCATGCCGTGAGCAGCGGTCGCCTGGTTACGAGAAGCGAACTCAACCTCAAATGCCTGTTCCCCAGGTTTATTCGATGACTCATCGACAATGATATCGTACTTTGTCCTTGGGAGGTGTTCATGCTCGAAGGAATCAAAGGCCCCCTTAGGTTTTCGTCCATCAGCAAATCCTCCTCACTCAAGACAATCTAAAGCCTACCCATTCACAGTTGATACACATCGATGCGTCTCCTGGAATGCCCACGTCGTTTATCTTCGTAATCTCGCTGACTTTCTCCATATACGCAGCGTTGCATCCCGTGCCAAAGATGACCGCAATTTTGGCATTAGGGTTGACGTAGTGGGACGCGATAAGGGTACCGGTGGTGTCGTTGATGAGCGCCGTAAGTGTGACAGGGAGTTGCTGGGCCAAGGTCAATTAACTTCCCGTCAGATGACGGAGAAGGCGGGAGACGTACATATGTAACGAGGGACTTGCGGAACATTTCCGCTACATCATGGCCTTCCGTGTTGAGTGCCGCAAACCCTTTTGTCCAGCGGATGAGAATGCCATGGTCGATTTTCAGCTGACTGTCGACGGTGTGAAAACCGTTGCAACCTGAAGTGCGAAAAGTGAAGACTTACTGGCATGGGTAGGAAAAGGTGAATCCAAGAGGCAGGGTCTCCCCAGGCTTCAAAGTAAGTGAGCCATCTGCCAGGCTAGTATCAACGAACGTCTTCAAGCACTGCGCGCAGAAGTCGAACAGCTTTTGACCGTCTTCCTGCTTTTGTTCCTCCGTAAGCCGATACTTGGACTGGGAGATTTCAAATTTGCCTTCGCCCTGTAGGGTAACAAGGCATACGCGCAGGTTCGTGCCACCTATGGAATAGTTTAGAGGAGTAGTAGATTACGGCAGAGAGGCGGACCTAGATCGACGGCAAGATAGTCGCCTTTCTCCTGTCCTGTCGGCCAACCAAAGACGAAGGTAGGTATCATTGGCTGTGGGATAGGTTGATCAGTAAGATGCCAAAGTGATTACATGGAGATGAAGGAGGCAAACGATTGCTGATTCGTCAGAAATGCAGGAAACCCGAAGCCGGAACAGGACACAACTGCCATAGGATGTCATGCCTAGCTGAAGCAGCGCAGTGACAGTCCTCTAATCGTCAAAACGCCCATCGGACTTTCTGCGGAGGTAGCAGCGACCCCATAGTGTGCAGCGACGCTAGAGACATCGCGTTCTCCTAAGATGGGGTAGATTGCACGTACCACGATTTGTTCAGGCTTTTGCAAGCCCAACTCTAAAGTCTCTTTAAATGATTCCACAATTATCCTCATCCGCTGAGGAGTCAACGTGAATCTGGGTAGGAGACGACTCAGACGAGTCCATCGGAGGAAACGTCTGAGGCTTACAGTGTCTCGTACTTCCTTAGATGGTCGGCCATAGTCCTAAGGGCATATCAGCACTACATCCAGATGCGACGACGCGACAAAGACGCACTTCTTGGTTGCGTGGGGGAGATCTTCCTCATCGTGGGTCCTAGTGTGGATGGCCAGGGTTTGCCCTGTGGGCAAGGTGAAGCTGCCGCTGCCACGACGTGAGAGGACCATGCTGGGCGGTGACGGCGATGGTGGGGAGATGAGCGATGATGACGAGGGGAGGAGAAGTTCTGCGCTGAGAATACTGGAACCACGGGCTTGAATGAATTCATTTAAATAACGCGTGGGAGTTGTCCTGGACATTTTACTTTCTATTCCGCCATCGTCATGATTGGCCTCAAATCCACCCTCAACGTATAGTATATACCCTTGTCGTCGTCAATTCTCGCTCTGAACTAGTTCTAGTGCATAGACAACTCTGGCGCTCTTATTGTAGAATGTGTTAACGTTCTAAAAAATAAGGTCACCAATGGCTGGGGATCCGTCGGCGACGAAATCGTGTGCGTCGTGCAACGCGCTCGTCCAATCTCAGCCGCTACCCAAGCTTCCGTGAACGCTGTCAAAGTCCGACGAGGAGACGTTCGAAGGGCTGTCATTGTGCGGACACGTAAAGCGGTCCGACGACCAGACGGTAGTGTCATTCGGTTCGATGACAACGCCGCAGTGCTTCTGAACAACAAGAGGGAGATGTTGGGAACGCGGATTGGTGGGCTTGTGAGTGCAGATTTGAGACTGAAGGGGTGGGGTAAAATTGTCAGTCTTGCTCCAAAAGTGAGTCCCTTCTTGTCCATCTTTGGATATTCTCGAGTGACGACTTTGCCAGGTTGTATAGTTAATGCCTACATATATATCCTGGGACATCTTTTCCTCTTGAAACGTCTAGTCCGAAGTCCCCGAACTCTCCGTCGTCCGGTGGGTCTTAACAGTGCCTGTAGCTGACATATAGAGGATCAGCTGCGCATCATCTTACGACTTGAATTCGTTCACTATTGGTTCGGCCTCAATACCAAAGTGCAGCGTGCCAATTTTCACCTGCCTGGTTTAACTTTCCTCAATCATTACTACCTCAAGCCATTTCCTCCATCACTTCTTAATGATGGTCTTCACATTTTTGCTGGGCACAATACTGCTTTTGTACGATAATCACCAGTACTAAATCCTGTTCCATGGGCGAAATACCGAACTTTAGCCTGGACCGTGTTGCCATTCAATACACAACAAAATCCCTGCAACTGTTCCTCGACAACTCAATCCTTTTGAAAACTCTATGCATGGGCTCTTGGCACAGGGGTAGCGCGCACGCTTTGCATTATGATTGAATATGCTTGCGTGAGGTCGTGGGTTCAAATCCCACAGTGTCCATCCACTGTGCATGTTTGCTTTTTTGGCCCTGCACGGACATCCTTTGCAATTGTCCAGATTGTCGGCCTCAACACCATTGGGTAACTTTACGCTCCGAAGAGGTGAGTCTGCATACTAACTACTCTATACATTTTAGGAACAGGAGGACATCAGAGTTAACATCTAAGGACACCCTTTTTCCCCCTTGGATCTAGTCCAAGAGCCAGCTTGTACATCTTCAGAGATCGTCGCATTTTGACTTGAATGATTTTGCCAACCTATCCTCAATGGGCTCTTGGCACAGGGGTAGCGCGCACGCTTCGCATTTCGACATGACGGTATGATCTGCGTGAGGTCGTGGGTTCAATTCCCACAGTGTCCACTTTTGCGTCTTAGGCTTTTTCTTTGACAGGTACAAACCCTGGCCAGCGTTACCGCAATGAAGGGATACATTCCACGATCAATGAGATTGCAAGTTTCATAGGAACAACTGCAGACAGCTTTTTGCCAGATGTTTTTTACAACCATGGTAAGCAAAATTGCAACTAATCCGTCTCCTATATTTTCAACCTTTTCGCATTCAGCTTGTTTTATTTGACCGTGTGTCGACTGCAAGGATGCTCATTCCCGGAATGATCGTCCGGAGGTGTCAATACGCCCACAAGATGCCACCAAGGTCCAAAAGCGCTGGACGTTCAGGAACAAGCGTGCTTCCAGATTACAATCGCTCGAGCTTTATCGCTACGGGATCAACTCATGCATATCACCACAACCTCCCTTCTCTTTTCTGCGCAACATACTGTATCATAACCGATAAAAATGTCACTTATCTCTGCTGGTGCTGGAAGTATTCAGTATAACTCGGTTGGGCCTGGGAATCAGATCATTCACAATCGCGAAGAAGGCATCAAGATCACCATCAACTTTGGTAACGGCCACGCTCATACGACCGACCCACATAATAACGCTGTAGGAAACGAATCCAGCATCCGTATGACAGCAGTTCAATCTGAAGATAACTTGTTCCATTGATACCCTTTTTTTGCTCTCTAGACACTACGAGAAATACAGACCCAGAAGTCGTGATTGATCACAATGCCAGTGCCACGAATGCCCCGAATTGCATGAGCGAAGATCCTGGTGAATGGGTTTAGCAAGTCGAATCCAGTTGTGCGCTAACATCATTTGTGTAGAACCTTTACCAGGTATTCGGCGTCATTCCGTCTTCAAGTTTTAAATTAAATTGAAATCGATGTAGAGGCAGACCAGCCGGATGTGACCGTGTCTGGCCAGTGGGGCCCCGAAGATGCTCTCAATATGGCACAAGGCAAGTCGAATTTCCTACCCACTGGTTCCCCAGAACACCCTTGAGTTAAGGCCTTCGCCTATCAGGCTTGCTTCGGCAATACCGTCCCTCTGTTCCCTCAACGTAAATGACGGTAGTAAAATCTTCTTTGCCTCATGGGTAAGTGCGCGTTTCCCGAAAAACACAGGTAATAATTTACTCACGGGCCAAAGCAAGTTAACAGTCTGGGACAATCGGCAGGTCGTTGGAGCCTTTTTTGCCATGCCATGGAATACATAAATCGGGACTGAATGGCATAATGGCACCACCCTAGATAGAAAGTGACCCCAGTTGTGGGACGGCCGACAAGGATTCGTTTGGAAATGAGTGTTGACTGGTGCTTGCTCACCTCCCTGGTAAAATGCTTTCTTGGGGCCAGAGAGAAGAATTTGGCATTGGGTTTCTTCCTAAGCAAACTTCTCCAGCGGGGAATGAAATGATGCCGTATAACACACTGGCGTTCTTCTGCAGAAAGGCGGACCCTATTACATGAACGTCAAATTAATTGAAATGAGAATTTGCAGTATACCATACCACACCAGTTTCTTCCTCTTTTGTGGGGCACCTAATGCTTGAAAACAGACGGTAAGAATTATAATCTGTGGCTCTGGATCCTGATCTGTCAAGTAACGAGGCACCCGGAGAGAAAGAAGTCTGGGAAGGTATGGGGGTTGCCGCTGGTACTGAAAGTGCTGCGGTGCTGCCTTGAACACGAGTTTTCACGACATCGAATGGGAAAGTGACCACCCAGCCGGCCGCAGACAGAGGTGATATCAGTAATACTGATGGCGAAAGACAAAAAAAAAGAGCATACGAACTCCTGCAACCCCTCCGGCCAGCAAAAGGGAGGGCCATGATAGTTTAGTCATGTCAGGTTTTACCTGAGCCAATATAAACGAAGAATCCAGAGGCGTCACCGCCGGGGTTGAAAGGTAGCGGCATGTAGAATAGCTTATGTCTTGTAAAATGAGATGCCAGTCTGAAATTTGGTCAGCGGGGTCGGATGTGTAGAGAGTGGCATTATCACAGCCAGGCGCAACAATCACTGGCTACCCGGTGTCGAATGGTCGATAGCATTTTTTGATTATAGTCATGCAAGAAAAGAGCGTGCTTGGAGTTGCAGGAAAGCGCAGAATTTTTAAAAAAAATTGGCGACTTCATGTCTTGTTGTGCCTTCTGGAATCAAGAGTGCAGCTCCGTCCGAAGCATGCGAAGGTATTTCGAAGGCATTGTTACTTTGAAAGCGACCATAAATCCGTAAGTCAGCGACTAGCCAGCAAGGAGTAGGTCAGTAGGGAAGAACCTCTCAGTTCCCAGCGTCACAACGAATGTCAACGCCTGGTCAACGCCAGCTGTGGTAATGACAGCTCCCTTATCGAAGTAGAGAGGAGTAACTCCACATCCAAGCCGAAGCAGCTCGAATCCGTCAGGAGCATAAAAATAAGTATCGACTCAAAGGGTGAGTATTAAACCAGTACACGCAATTGGGAAACGGGGATCTTTGCGATAAGGGACACCAGGTGGTAGAATATAACTCAGGCCTTCCTGACTCTGTTTGAAAATTTCAAGTTCCAAGAGATGCGACTTGGACAGCGAAGGGAATGTGTATACCTCCAAGTTGTGACTGAAACGAGTAAGCCAAAGGACCTAATGTTGAACGCAAACTCACCAACGCAAAGGAAGGAAGTCTGAACTAGTTGGACCTTCTTCCGCTTCCATCACAAATCAATGGCCACGGAATTCATAGGTGGAGGATGTTATGGCTTTGGCTTGGGACGATCTGGGCCCACATGCCGTCCTTTGTATTTTTTGGTCTTGTCGTTCAATTGTCCTGGCGAGAGAGAAAGTGAATAGTAACAAGGCAGTCAGGCAAATGTGAATTGTGAAATAGAAGCTAGGCGCTGTTGACAAATTACAAGCGATGATGATGCGCTCCTCAACTTCACCGTGACACAAACGACTACTTATAATCGCTTCCTCTTTCAATCGCCATTCGCCGCCCAACTACATAGCTACCAAAACAAACTCAAAAATCCCTAGAATACACGTCTTCGGCCTCTACAAGCGCGTCCACATTGCTCATAAGCAACCATGCGCTTCAGAACTCTAGAAATCAGGTGGCACGACAGCAAACCTATTTCAACCTGCGACTTCCAGCCCATTTCTTTCAAGAAGGCGCGTCCAGGTCCAGGTCAAGAGAAGAACTACGCGGGTCAGTCGTACCGTTTAGCCACAGGCGGGGAGGATAACCACGTTCGGGTGAGTATCATTAAAGGACTTTATGCGGGATATCGCCTGACAACCAGGCGGCTGAGTAGATATGGATGGTCCACCCTCATATCCGACCCCCGAGCGTTGTCGAACCCGATTCCGCGTCAAACCCAACGAGGCCCCCGCGAGTTGAGTACTTGGCGACTCTGAGTCGCCATTCAGCAGCAGTCAATGTAGTGCGATTCTCACCAAATGGTACGTCTATCGCGTCTTTCTAGCCAACAGAGGTGCTTAGAACTCATTTATAGGCGAACATATCGCGTCGGCTGGTGATGGTAGGTAGCGTTGTTTGTGAAATGTCGTACCTAACACATTACTTCCAGACGGTATGATTATCATTTGGGCGCCCTCCACAAGCCCGCAACCAACCACCTATGGGAGCGATCTAAGCCCAGAGGATTTACAACACGAAAAGGAATACTGGAAACCAAGAACAACTTTCCGGTGAGAATGATATTTGTCGGGAAATGGTTTGATAAGTGACGCGTCCTTCTAGCTGCACAACCATGCAGGTGTACGATTTGGCATGGAGCCCTACTGGAGAGTACATCATTGCTGGTAGCACAGACAACGTCGCAAGGGTCTTTTCCGCTGTGGACGGTATGTCACTTTTCCCTTTGTTTGACATGCTGGCAATGAAACCTACAGGGAAATGTGTTCACGAAATCGTCGAGCACTCTCATTATGTTCAAGGAGTTGCGTGGGACCCTCTGAATGAATACATTGCAACCCAAAGCAGCGACCGGTCTATGCACGTCTACCGCATCTCTACCAAACAAGGCGCCTTTGAAGCCCACGCTGTTGGTAAAAACACACGTATGCCACACAGGCACTCGCGTACACCCAGCACCAGCCGACCACGGATGTTTCGGAGGGAATCTACAGCGAGTGACGCTGAATCTGCCGTCGCCGACTATGCAAAAGACTCGGAGGATGTGTTGACATTGAGTAAGGATCAAACTCCGCTGACACCAGCGATGTCTGTATTAAGTACACCCTCCTCCATGTTCCCACCACCACCCATCGAGCCTTCCTCGCGGAGGTCGTCTTTCAGTGGGTCCAATGCCCCCAGTTCACCATCAACATTCACGCGATATGGTCGTTCTCCTTCACCCATGCCTCCCCTCCCTGCTATTCGCAGCCTCCCCTCGCCTTCGTCTTGGGCTTCCGTAAAACTCTATGGCGACGAGAGCTTTACAAATTTCTTCAGACGCTTGACGTTCAGCCCAGATGGTGGTCTCCTTCTTACCCCCGCTGGCCAGTTCGAAGACCCCTCTGTGATTCCGTCACAGTCCAAGCAGCACGCGAAAGACGATAATAATACGACCCCTGCACGGGGTCGTAAAGGTCGCCCTTCTAACGCTGGGGAGTTTACTACTACTTCAACCCCAGCGACTGCAGCCGCAACCTCCCCTGCATCTTCGGTATACATCTATTCTCGAGCCAACTTTGCTCGACCGCCCATCGCTCAGCTGCCGGGACACAAGAAAGCTAGTGTTGCAGTCCGTTTCTCTCCGATTCTTTATGAGCTAAGACATGGTGTGGAGGGTGCGGAAGGTACTCATGAAAATGAGACGAAAACTGCAGCTTTGGAGAAAGGAATGGAGGGTGTTGTGGACGTGGATGTTGTTGGTCCCCTTACTGTGTCCGAGCCATCAGCTTCGACTGCAGGAAGCGCTACTGCAAGGTATCACGCATCGTCTTTAGTGACCACCCATCAGCGCACAACGCCAACACATGGCCACACCCATTCAACCTCCTCAACCTCATCCATCGTGGCCCCTTCTCCCCGTCTTGCAATCCCCACTTCTGGAGATGAAAATTCTCATCACCAACATTATCCCAGAGGGTCACCGGCGCTTTCTCCCATGGATTTGAGACCGCCCACCCCAGCTGCCTCTAAACCCCCCACACCGGTTCCCTCCTCTTCACAAGGCCATGCTCATTCCAATCCCATTACAAACCCAGCTGTCCGTACAGGCTCTGTCTTTGCCTTGCCGTATCGCATGCTATTTGCTGTGGTAACGATGGACACGGTGGCAATCTACGATACACAACAAGCTGGTCCTGTGTGCTTGCTCACAAAGTTGCATTATGACGAGTTCACTGATATGACTTGGTGCGTATCCGCCCCCCTGTTCATTCTTCAGTCGAACTGACTACCCCTCTACTTAGGTCACCAGACGGACAATGCCTGATGCTCTCTTCTCGCGATGGATATTGCACCCTCATCATCTTTGACGAGATTCTGCCTTCACACCAAAAGCAACAACATGCACTCCAGCTCCAATCTATTGCACAGCATCACTCCCTTCCCCTCTCCTTTGCCTCTTCTCATCACAACAACAACCATAACGTCTCTGGAGCTGGCCCATCCTCTACAGTCGTTACGCCCGCAGCTACGCCCTCTTCCAGCACTATCGGTCTGCCTTTTGTGCGCGAGAGCAGCTATACCACTCCGACGTTGTCAAGGAAGAGGCATGAGCCGCCTCTGACGCCGACTGCTAGTGTGGATGGAGGTGAAAATGCGTTGGATTTCTCATCCTCGTCGTCTTTGGGTGGTCTTCACCAACAAGGGGACATCATGGTTTTGGACAAGGACGACGGAGAAGCAAAAGATAAGATCCAGGAGCCCCCGAAGAAGAAGAGGCGCGTGGCGTTGACGAGGGTTGGCGATTTGGATTGATAAGCCGACGGACCTGAATGTGTTTCTTTAGTGAAGACCCATTTCTTGACCTACCCATGCCGCAATTTATGGTGTTGCACCTTCTTCCTATGTATCTCCCTTGATTTCATTATTCTTGATTGTATTGATATTTGCGCTATTTGTCGTTTACCGAGCAGAGTCCCCCCAGCTCCCAATCTGCATACTATACATGTCCATAATCCGTTCTTCACTTGTACAGTACGTTTCAGCCTACACTTATGCATACCTCAGCTATTTGAGCTGTGCCTCGACGGCATTGAAGGTCGAAGGCCTGTCAGCATCATACAGTGACTTCCGAGTCCTTCGATGAGATGAACGCCAAATCCAAAATGTCTGACCATTCATCTCTTTGCCGTTTCACTCCGAATGATCAAAGGCTTCGAAGTACGGACTGTACAAGCTTGAGCATCAGGGAGGATCATCGAAGAGCACCCTAGCAGCAGTTGAAACAAATTCTCGATTATATGCTGCGAACCTCTCTACCAAACACCTGCGATCACATTGGACACCAGCAATCTTGGCGAAAAGGAATCAGAAAGAAACTAACATGTCTATACTAAACATCAACATCATCACGGCCTTCCCCCCTCTCTCACCCTCCAAACCCATGCAACCGCACAAACGACGAGGGAATATACGCCGAGTATACACATCGCCAAGGTATCTGAGGCGTACATGGTTTCCACCTTCAAATTGATAGCACCCGTGAGTACGTTAGCCTGTCACCATTCATCACATCAGGCTACATGAACATCAAGAAGATGGAAGACGGGAGGAGACGCACAAAGAGGAAGAGGACCAGTCCATGCTTATTAATCGCCTCGAGAAGTTGAGGTGGGTTGCCTTGCTCAAGCACCTCATCTATAGGTGGCTGCTGTTGGGAGGAAGGAACGTATGGGCTCGCAAGGCCCGACATTGATATCGGCTCTTTCTTCTTCTTTGGTTTTGGACCAGGGAAGAACGAAATGTCGAGTACTACCAAGTACAGGAGGAGGAAGGAGGTATTGAATGCTGCGACCCAGAGGATGTAGGGAAGGTTCACCTTGAAGGATATTTATTATATTAGTTGACGACGGAAACAATTGAAGTTCAGGAGGGAAGGGAAAACGCACGATCCTCCTAGATACCTCGCCCCATTGACCTTTGAAGTTGACTAGCTTTGTGAGGCCTAAGAAGCTCCACCACACGATACTGTAAGAGCAGAGCTCCGTAGCTGTCTTCCCCGTCTGCCTAGGACCTGCAAGGTCAAGGTCTTTGTCATGCTTGAAACCAGCGTCGCTGATCCGTCTTTTGGTCAATTTGTCCGCGAGGGCCTGTTGCCGCCTTCGGAAGAATGAGGGCGAGGGTGGGAGGACAAGGGTGCCGGCGGAAAGACCGAGGAGGTGGATGGCGAGATAACCTAGGATTGTTGCTCGGATAAGAAAACCACCGAAAACAAGGGATGGGAAATGTTTCTTACCTGAAAGGGAGACGATACCTTCCTTGTTCGCGCTAATGATGGATGTTCGTGGTGCAGTTAGAATATAGGACTCGAGACCAAAATGCGATAAAGCAGATTGCTGTCCTGCAGGAGCGAGTTAGGAGGGAGGTTGATGTCTATTGAGGTGCACTCACCAACTGCGATGAGCACCCCCAAAAGTGACACCGGGAGATAGATCATCATGGGATGCAATAAAACTTGTAGGATAGGAACAAGGGCGAGAGTAATGAAGAAATTCCAATGTCTTCCATACTCCGTTTCATGTTCCTAGAGCCAACGATAAGAACCAGGTATAGAAATGACTGGTGGCTGGATGTCTACCGGGTATTCCGTTCCTTTCACCAACAAGACTCGTACAAGGCCGAGAACGATGACTGGTAATGACTTGCGTGTCACTTTGAAGAGCTTGGAAGGGAGTGAAGAAGTGAGGTACGAAGGGTCTTTGATCAAAGGTATTGCGGAGATTATTCCTTGGGAAAAAACGAAAGAACCAACTCCTAGGTCCATCTGTGGACTATTAGCCTTTTGAATTGAGCTGCAAGGTGATTGAGAGACATACGAGAGACACGCCGTAGGTCTCACACTTTGCGAGGGAGCGGGGAAACACGGGGAAATCCACAGCAAGAATTGCAAGGATAGTCATGAGCATCATGTGTGCTCTATACGTCGTCAAGGCTGGCAGCGGTCTTATCCAAGTTCGCGACGGTTGCTTTGGAGCAGAAACCGCTGGCGACGCGGGTTGGCTGGAGGGGAGAGAAGGGCCGCCCTCCCTACGTGGAACGAAAAGGAGCAAAGCCGTTGGTATAAAGATGAATAGGGAGAGGATGATCGGTCGCTCAGCGAAGAGCGTCATCGACAGAAGAAGAGGGAGTACAAGGAGGACCCATGAAAGACCGAAGTTTATACGTCGGCTTGTTGGAAGGCGTGTGCATAGGGCTGAGTAGAGTGATACCGAGGACTACTGTAGAACGTTAGGTAGGATTTCGAGGCTCATTGAACTGATTGACAGACCAAAGCCACCAAAGACACTAGGTTTATCTGTGTAATTGAGGAACCCGTCATTCCCGACACAAAGGCCTCTTTTGCGGCCTTATAATCGTTGCTCATGGCACCGACAGTGCTGTGTGATACTAATAGAGCTATATGTTCGAGCGATCCTAAAAATGAGGATGTCAGTCACGCGGTGAGGACTTGGAATGCCAAACGATTGCACGATGACACTCACAGATATACAGGATATATCATAGACAAACGTTACTCGCTGGTAACCCACTGGTAACGTTACCAGTCTGAATACTCAGTACTCAGATTCTGGGCATATACTTCCAAGAATCGCTATCTGTCGTAAGCAGCCACAAATATCGGTCTTAGCCGTGATTTTGAAGCTGGTCACTCCCTGTTGCCGTACATCATACAGCTCTCACACTGTGTCATGAGGGAACATGCTAGGACACAGGTTTGCCAGCTGTGTGTTATATATACCGCTGTCTTCATGTCCTCTGCAGCAGATCTCCCCCACCCATGATTCGCTACCTTTTATACTTCCTCAATATTTACTCGGTCTACGCCCACCCGGTTAACATCGCCATCGCGGCTCCCGTTAGCCTTCACGTCAGCCCCGCCGGTTCACTCGGGCTCTTATGGAGCTCGATCGGGCTTGCAGTTCTCACTTCTTTCATGCAGGGCCTCGCCGTCACTGTGGTGACCATAGCTGAGGATCAAGACATGTGGACTTTCCGTTTCCGCATCGCGCGTTACGAACATCTCTGGTGGACAGTCATATCCAGCTTGCTTTCCATCTCATTCATCCTCATTGTCGTCTCGTTCCTATCCGGGAATAACAGCGACTCCCTCGGCATACTCGCACTCTCCACAACCACATCCATTGCCATCGTTAGGTACACCATCCCTGCATGGCGGAACAAATATTTTGTACAGAGTCGCTGGCTGGCATGGACAGGGAAAAGTCGCACGGCGATTAAGGCAGTGTTTGGGAGCATTGTCGGCAATGCTGATCGATGGAACCGGATTGCTTCCCTTGCACCTCCAAATCACCTTATCGCAACCCCCTCAGATGAATGGGGCTGGGCGATCAATCCGCCCTCAGGCATAGGCGCGGATCCAACCTCATTATTAACTTCATCGCTCTTGGACGACGAAACCAAAAATGAGGCGACTCTCGCGTCTTGTATCTATGACGATGGATATCATCATCATCTTGGCGGTACTGTATCGCTTCTATGGGGCCAGGACATTGGCTTTCGCCCCCGCATATCCCGAGCAATCAACAGTATGCCTCGCACACTCAGCCACTCTAGGCCTTTCACGAACGCCGGATACAAGGGCGAGGGAATCTGCCTCGCGATGGGTATCCTGGGACGAAATAAAGGTTTGCGACCTTTTCTGCTCGTCTTCGATCATCGGGACAGCAGAAAAAAGCAGCGAGGAATTAAATTCAAGTCGAATATCAGTACCACAACGCACCTCGAAAACACATCCGTCTGGTCCCCACGTCCGAACAAAGTCATGAGATCGTACTACGAGAAGGCGGCCGTTGAGCAATTTGGTGGTCTTGGTAACGACTTTGTTGGCGCAGCTGTTGAGCTCGCCGTGTTATTACTCGATTGTCCGCCAAAAGCTGCGATGAGATGGTTATCAAGAAATCTGGAGCAGCAGTCATTGGAACTGAACATCCTGATGTCTGGTCGGGACCCTACTCACCTCGACGCCACAGCTAGCCCAGCCCAACTACAAACATTGTACCGCGCGAGCTACACATCCATGATTCTATCCCTCAACTATTTCCCATCCAATCCAGGCTACGGCGATTTTGCTCGCCCCGACCTTATCTGCTTCGCACTTCTCTGGCTGGCTGATGGAGCTGTCGAAGAAGTCGAAATCACTACTGACTCGGGTCAGAAGAAGGTTCACTATTATACTGGGAAAGGTGCAGAAGAACCGACGTGGTGGGAGCAGGAGTGGGTAGGGAAGAGACTGGAATTGGAACACCAATCTTTGAGCAGTACGACTACTGAATGGAAGGATGCGGCAGCATGGCTTTTGGGATTGACTAATTGGCCTGAGCATCTGGATCGCTGGCCCCAGTGGGAAAGTGTGGTGTATACGGTGGCGGAAAGAGAGCTATAAATATTTATTTATTTCGAGTAGTCGAGTGCTGCTCGATGCAGGCCAAGACGGTTACACTTACCAGCACTAGCAGATATAGTTGCATTTTATATTCAGTAGGGAGGACCAGTTATGAGCACCCTTTGGGATGGCACCAACGATGCTCAGGCTGGATCCGGAGATATCGATTAGAGAAGTAGTCAGGATGTAGTTCTGCAAAGCGATAACTGAGCAAGCTTACAAGTAAGTTAGCAATGACGGCAGCCCGGAGAGATGATAATGCACCCGCATCGACAACACTTGCCACAGGCACCGAGCAAGATGCAGCTCTGAGCAGGGCGGAGAGAGAAAGGGACGAAGCTTGTGCATCGCACATGCAACGCTCCGTTACGCTCGGCATATCACGTTCTATATTAATATTGTACCACTAAGTAGACTTTATTTATCTATTGTATTCGATCAAGGCGACCATCCAAAACTTGCATTTCTTTATGTCTTCTCCAATCCGAGGACACTCGAAGGACATCAACGTGGTCATATGTCGCTTCACTTTCATAATCGGATTGATGTAAATTTTTGACTTATATTCGACTCGGATCAACTTTGCGACCTCTTCCTTCAATCACTTCACTCGCAAAATGTTCAAAATCAAACCGAAATACCTTTACAAGTTGATTGCTTCGTCGAAGAGGCTACTCCCTGTTAAAATTACGATTAATGATCTTTCCTGTGATCATCTTACCCCCACCCTTCCTTTGAGCAATGTGGACACTCACTTCATCCATCTATCGACCGCGGCCCAGGTTTACAGAACTCTCATCAAATATTTTGATGCAGAGGATTTGGTTTTCGTCGCGAGGCTCGACTATGCCGCAGTTGAGAAACACATTAATTGGGAATCCCCCAATGGGAGCGGTGAGTACAGATCTAACGGTTTCGCGATCATGAAACTCATTTCTTGATGCTTATAGAAACCCTTCAAATGGGGGCCGATGGAGTTTATGCGCATTTGCGCCCTACAGAGCTGTGGGGAAAGGACGTGATTGAGAATCTTTTCTATTTCAAGAAAGATACAGACAAGACCTGGGAAGAACAGGTGAAGTTGATTTGGAGGCCTGTGTGGTTGATCGATTGAAGATTGTGGGAGGGACTTGGAGGGTACCTAAAGCCACTATGTAGGTCGCATAGGTTCGGCTAGGTACCTCCCAACTTCCTGATGTAAATTTGAAAAAATAGAACTAAAACCTTGAGCTTGAGGGCCAGAGCAAGGCCAAAGTGCCCGCAGTCAGCACATGTCAGCCTTCGTTATTTCCACCACTGGCAGTGCACCGAGGCCATGAGGATGTTTACGAACTTAGCATTGTGACAAAGAGAAGGAGGGTGCTTTCTATAATAGACCATGCTGAACACTTGAGATCTTGCACTGAATGAGGCACTGTATTGACCTATGCTCAACCTATGCTTCGAATGGAGACGACTCGGAAGGTTGTAAAGCTCTGCACAACACATCGGTACTTGATCGGTATGGGTATTCTACGTGATCTGTGTATCGGTTCCAAAAGTTTTTGGGGTCCTGCTGCTACATATATTAACCCAAACACTGAGGCGTTGAACATCAACCGACCACCTACCGGCCTGCGCTTTCCCTCTCAACAAGTTATTAAGGTGCACTAGCATTGCCTTTTGTCTTTCTGTCATATAAATTCAGAGCCGTTTGAGATGACTAATCCAAATGCTGAGGTCGCTGTCCATGTCAGGATCGAAGGAAAAAACAACACAATATTCGACGGTACCATCTCGACGCACGGCAAGGATGTGACCACTAATACAGGAACCGTGATTACGCGTCGCGCCGACGGAATGAATGGAAATGAGTACCCGTTCAAAGTTCCTACTTGCACATCTGCACTTGCGGATACTGCCACTGGCGTAGCCGGCAGACCTAACTGGGGCGCGTGAGTGTCTTCCAGGGGCGATGCCTTAACTTCTGCGGGCCTGACTGAGTTCAACAGCACATTTCACGACGACTTAGACGACTTCTTTGTCAAAACCATCAATGAGACAGCTGGGCAGGGCGAATTCTGGCAGCTAGCACTCAACTTTAGACGGGCAGACGTGGGAGGGGGCCAGTTGCGGGTTACGACTGGAGACAGCGTGTTGTGGGCTCTGGTCAAAGGGCAGACGTTAGTGCCCCTCCGGCTCAAGGGCCGTCCATCTGTTAAGGTCGACACGGAGTTTACAGTCACCGTCCTTGATGGAGAAACCCGCAAGCCGGTTCCATTGGTAACTGTGAGCCCGGGCGGAGGGACTCGGACAACAGATGTCAATGGACAAGTGAAGATAAAACTCACAACAGTTAGAACTCACCTACTCAGGGCAGATGCTCCGGGTATATACGTTAGATCTAATGTCCTCAAAGTTACTGTGACGGCGGCTTGAGTGATACAGAGCAGCACCAGATGTACAATAAATTCCGTTTTTACGCCTTTCCTCACATCATGCATCCAGAACGTGTGCGTAGCTAGAAATCCCGAAGTATTCCTCTCAGCTAATAATTATAATTCGCGCCACCAGCGCAAGAGGTGCAGTGAGAAGGGAATCGGACTACCTTGTCATTTATAGCATCAAGATTTCGCAGTTGTGATTGTGGGGCCGTTTACACCCCCCGTAAAATTGTGTGTCGTCTCCACCACGTTCATTGCTCTAGCAGTCCTTTGCCCTCGTAATCTAGCATCAAGCCTTCCCGCATCGCATTGAACATCCTCATCATCGACATCCGCACATCTCCCAAGGCCGAGAACGATGACTGGTAATGACTTGGGTGTCACTTTGAAGATCTTGGAAGGGAGTGAAAAAGTGAGGCACGAAGGATGTTGCGGAGATTATTCCTTGCGAAAAAACGAAAGAACCAACTCCAAGGTCCATCTGTGGACTATTAGCCTCAAAATGAGCTTCAAGCTGATCAAGAGACATACAAGAGACATGCCGTAGGTCTCACACTTTGCGAGGGAGCGGGGAGATACGGGAAAATCCACAGCCAGGATTGCAAGGATAGTCATGAGCATCATGTGTGCCCTATACGTCGTCACGGCAGGGGTCGTATCCAAGTTCGTCACGGTTGCTTTGGAGCAGAAACCGCTGGCGACGCAGGTTGGCTAGAGGGGAGAGAAGGGCCTCCCTCCCTACGTGGAATGAAAGGAGCAAAAATGTTGGTATGAGGATGAATAGGAGAGGATGATCGGTCGCTTCGCGAAGAGCATCATCGACAGAAGAAGAGGGAGTACAAGGAGGATCCATGAAAGACCGAAGTTTATACGTCGGCTTGTTGGAAGGCGTGTGCATAGGGCTGAGTGGAGTGATACCGAGGACTACACTGTAGAACGTTAGGCAGAATTTCGAGGCTCATTGAGGTGATTGACGGACCAAAGCGACCAAAGAGACTAGGTTTATATGCGTAATTGAGGAACCCATCATTCCCGACACAAAGGCCTCCTTTGCAGCCTTATAATCATTGCTCATGCCGCCGACCGTGCTGTGTGATAGATCTATGTGTTCGAGCGATCCTGAGTTAATCCTGAGTAATGAGAATGTCAAGAGAATGTCTTGTCACAGTATGTTGTTCACACGCACTTGCTTATGACTTTCCATCAGCAAAATGGGAAGAGGTTAGTCGAGCGGTTCCTATCTTGAAATTGCGCATTTGAAGTTACTCATCTCTCGTTTTGCTTTCAAGGGGGTCGTCGTTGTGAAGGTGCCGAGGAAATTTATTAGGTCACAATTTACGACGAAACGAAATCGTCAAGAACAGCTACATACCTCAAACAAAACATAGCTGGCTACATAGATAAAAATGGCTAAGCCTGTCAATAAGCGCCTTCTGTTCAAACTTCACAACCACCACTGTCATCCGTCTGTAAACCTTCCGAAATGGCCTCCGAGTCCTCGCTGTCGGGTCATGCAGCCAATCTTGCCAACCAGTTTACACCACCGTGCGTCATCCAAAGCTCTTCTCTTGGTTTTTCATGAACTCCTCCATCCAGGCAAATTCGGTCACGTATCACCATCGTATGCGCAGAAGTACGTGCTTTTCCGCTCATTCAACTGTCCTAAGCTCATCCCCATTAGTGCAAGCGTCTCAAGCTAAAATGCGACAGGAAGACTCCTTGCGGGAGTTGCGCAAAACGCGGCACCATAGTGAGGTGTATCTATGCACCCGAAGCTGTGGAGAAGATGTACGCCCACCAATCACTTTCCCGATCGCTGCTGATTTTCTGAATAGCGATCTTCATTCACTTCATAATCGTATATCTTCACTGAACGATCGCCTCGTTCTAGTCGAGTCAACGCTCGCGAAAATGAACGCAGCACCGCCTGCATTCCAGTCGCCCTCACAGTCATCAATAACAGCGTACACTGGCACCCCGTCGACTGACTCCGTTCCACTCTTTGCGGATGATGTATCTATGCGGCTGGACCCCTTGATAAGTGGGTATCGCAGCTCACTGCGCCCTACACCCATGTGCCACCTCCGCCCAAGCCGACTTCAGACGTCTTCGAATTTCAAACGACGCCACCCCCTTCTGAGATTGAACCGTATCCCTATCCCTCGAAGAAGATGCAATTGGATTGGCATACATCTCAAAAAGATGGGACACAGATGCAGCCAACGCAAACATCTGTAGAGTCATTATTAATGCAGTCAGGCTTCGGTCCTGATGGGACAGATAGATTTCCCCAGGAGCACCAGGCAAAACCATCAACCGACGAGTCTGTTATTGGCAAACATTTCGTCATAGGTGCAGAGAGCGCGCTCGAGGGTATTCAGGGGAAAGAGACGGTCATCGAGACAGCCTTTGCAGATTTCCAAATTGCTAGGTTGGAGTATGCTGTCTTAGCTGGTTACAATGAGGCCCTCATGCAATCAGGAACGGGATACCTACCAGAGATTCACGTATTTTGTTCCGTCGATATCGCTCAGAGAACGGAGTCACTTGTCACCAGACTCGGAAAGATACTCTCTCCGCTCCCCGGGGTACTTTTCACGCCCACCTCTACGTACCGGATACCAGTCTTTCAAAACGACGAAACCCTTTTAAGCTGGGACGAGCTCGTCTTCTCTCGCACAGAGAGATATGCTGATATCCGTTCTTCTGTTGCACCAACTTCGATTCAGGTCGTGTCTTGTCCGCAAGGTTCTTGGAGTGACGGTGGAACGTCTGCTCCTTCTGGCTTCGGTGGGAACGAGTTGAGAGTAGGCGATTCTGAGATGAAAGATACGGATGATGCAGGGAATGATCAAGGCGAGGACGAGAAATCCGGGGACCGTGAGGGCGACGATGGCAATCCAGATCATGAGGATCCTGATGATCCGACAGACGGTAGCTTGACGTCGTCATTGCCAGCAATTTCCTTTGACACTCAGGCAAAGGTCTGCGCTACTACTGCGAACACTGCATCACCAAAAGTCTTCCAGGAGCTGCAAGTCAACGGAAGGCTTATAATACAGGTGACTTGCATACGCTTATTCGCAAGAACATTACTTACCTGTCCAAAAGTCTTATCCTCCTCGCTCAAAACCGAAACGACTCCCAAAGTCATGCGTAGAGTTCAAAAGGCTGAAATTTCAAGGCCGCCGAGCGATACCGACCAGGGGTTACGAGCAGGTCCACGCCAGAGTAGTGATCGACGCCAAGGAGGAGCTAACAAGAGTGGATGCCATCAAACCTTCTCGAACCCCTGCAATAGGACTCGAAAGCACGGAAGTCACAACACGACAGAGCAGCTCCGCACTGGGCTTTTCGGGCTCTGCGGGGTTGGGTACACCATCCATCAAGGGGATGTTTTCAGGACATCTGGGAGCAGAGTCTTCGTCGTATCTGGAGACGAGAAACTATGGATCACGGATTACCCAGGGCGACAGTTACGGTGTCGTTTGGTGGGGGTTCAACGTAGACGACCCTCATGCACAAGAGGCTGGTATAGAGCTGCTTGATACCCTTCCAAGCGCGGAGTTCCACTTTCTCGGAAAGAATGCATCTCTCCCTGCTCGGTTACACGTCGAGGTCGTTTCGTGCTGGTCATTGATTTCAAGCTGCGAAAACAGGCAGTCCTGGATACAGGCATTGATTGGGCTGGCAAAGCCAAAAGGTCTCTCGTACTCCAATCTATGCCAGATCGTCCAGTTGGAAATACCCAGTACGCTGCTGGAGGATTATGAATTCATGTCCCTTACACATGTGAAGCAGTCTGGCTGCCACACGCAGGTTAAACTCGAAGGCTCTCATCCGGTACACGTTACCCCCTCCGTCGTGTTTTTAGATGGACCTGTTACACCAGATTCTGGTAGGTAACACGATCCACGAAATGCGGGAATGAAACATTAACGTCCATTCCAAATCATAGGTATTTTACGCAAGTAACTCTTTCAGTTAGCATCGGGAACCCACCAAGTATATTCAATGATATATATGTAGTGCACATATATGTTCTGGTAATCTGCTCGCAAATGATAATCTAACCTGGAACCTCTACCGGTCGACGGCAAATGATATCGATTAATGGCTGTGCAACTTCCTCAGACCATTCCTTTGGTACCTGGTACGTCTCTGACCGGCGTTCTCGATAAAGTTGCATAACTTCCTTTCGAATGTATGCTGCAGTATTGCTGCCTTGATCATACCACTTTATCATAGCTTCAAGCGTTTTCTCATCGCTGATATTGAAAACGTAGATCTTCTCCATAATGAGTGTCGTGTCTTGGCATTGCCGTAGTCAGCCTACTGATACCCATTAAAACTAAGAAAACATTCACTAACCTGCTACCCGCTGTTCCCACCTACAGAAAGCCAGCAAATCGGGGTCGCCGTTCACCTCGGTCAGGTCGGATGATTTGGGGTGGCCGATGAGACGTCGGCTATCATCCAAATGTTTTTCCAAGAGACGAATAAGCTTATCGGAAGAAAACATATTAGTGAACTTGGCAATGCAGTGAATGGAGTCTCGCCTACCTTGATGGGTGCTTGACGCCCCGATGTAGGATCTGTCCAAAAGGTTTCCCAAGTCTTGATGAAAGGTCCGCCACGGAACATCTTCTCGGAGTGATTTTTATAATAGTTCCCTGAGGAAATAACGGTTTAAGGCGGGGGTCAAATATACTTATTGAGCACCAACAATTTAATCCATTTCTAGCGAAGCAGGGGTCAACGTTCAATGAATGAAACACGCAGTGATGAACGATACTTACATAGCAGACGTGATAAGCTTAACTTTACTATCGGCACTTTGGGCGGAGGCGAAAAAAGTCCGAAGGTCATAACCGCTTCGTACTTGACGCTGCGTTTCTGTCAGAGACAATACTTTCAATGATTCCTCAATCAATCGCGCCAAGCGACTATCGTCCGGAGCCGACTTGTGCACTTCAAGTAATTTCTTGTCAAACACGATCCAACTTTGCACACCAAGTTATATCACCTTCAGACAGAGTCACAACGGCCCGTGGTGGATGCTGCATGCTCAAAAGGGGTTTCTTGTAGTGCTCCTCGAATCGTTTGTCTGCCTCCGTACCAGCAAGCTTTTCGAGCTCGTCATCATCAACTTCCTCGTCTTCTTCTTCCGCTTTTTCTTCCAATTTCTGCTGCATATCTTGTAAAAATGTGTCGAACTTGGTCACAATGGCCACAACCGGTACTATGGGAACGTCACGTTTGAAGAGGGCGGTTCATCTTTGATCTTACCGGTCAAAGGCATCGAAAAAAAATCTTTCTCTGCTTGCTGGATGGGCCGAGAATTCATCTCCATGCAGTACCTGTGGCAATTCGGCTGAGCTTGCCCATAATGAGGAAAAGGAGCAAGACGAACCACACCAAATGCAATTTCTGATTTATGTCTTTTGCACGTGAACGACTGTCAATGAATCTCCAAACGACGTCCACCTCTGCTTGCTTTCCCGCTTCAAATCCCTCGGAATCATGCGCAATGATCTTGTTGTTCCCTTCGAATTCAATTTCTTTTTCAATATTATGGGTACCTCTCTTAAGACTTCGCCTTTGGCATGTGCTCGATACTACAAGCGGAATGATTTTGCACTCACCGTGGTGCTAGGCGCGTCCACCTGAAATGGCGGAATAAATCTTAAACCTTGCGAGAGCTTGATCATTCTTACCATATTCCCGCCACACACCTGGAACGAAAAGTTAGTCGCTCCATAAGATGCAAACGCCGGCTTGAAATGCTAACTTTATACAGAATTGTGGTTTTCCCGCACCCCGTTTTCCCGATGATCAACAACCTAAACTTTTCAAGCGGAGGCAGTGCGACCGCGACAGCTGCTGCCAGTAACCTCTTCAATTCTTGCTCCTCGGAGGCATCTAGTTGAGGCGCCTTTTCAGATTCCACATCTTCATTTTTCGATGATGACTTTAACAGTCCCTTAAGTTTATCGAATCTCTTTGGAGGGGGTTTTGGACGTGGGCGCAATGCTTCGCGAGTTGCAGTTTGAAACACTTCGCGAACCCCCTCTCCAGTCCTGCTAGAGCATTCAACATAGTGCCTTGCTCCGATTTTCCTGGCGACTTCCTGTCCCTGGTATGAAATGGTAGTGGGCCAGAGTACCTCTTCCGAGTTTAGCTCAACCTACCTCTTCAACGGTCGCTGGACGTTGATTCGTCCTCCGTAGTTTGTCAATGGTTTTGGGATCTCTTCTGAGGTCTTTTTTCAAGCCTACAAGAATGATAGGGAGTCCCTGACAGAAGTGGTTTACCTCACTAATCCACTGCGACAACCGACAAATAAATATTAGTACCGAGGTATTGAGGAGCTGGCTACGCACCTTCTTTCGGACGTTGTCCAGGGAATCGGGATTAGCAATGTTGAAGGTCATAAGAACAACGTGCGAGTCAGGGTATGACAGAGGACGCAAGCGATCATAGTCTTCCTGACCAGCCGTATCCCATAACGCCAACTCGACATGCTTCCCATCCACCTCAATGTCGGCGACATAATTTTCAAAAACAGTTGGGACTGATATCTGTTCACGAGTGTTAGCTGTCACGCCAATCAACTAATATCCACATACCTCTGGGAAGGTTCCTTTCGAGAATGCAATAAGCAACGACGTCTGCGAGATCCAATCAATGTTATCTGCGTAATCCGCATTGTGGTTTGTCCGGACAAACCTTCCCTCCATAATCACCTACGATGACGAGTTTTCGGCGAATCTCAGCCATCGCGTCCTATAATGCTCCACCGTTCGCGGTAGTGAATAGGATAATGCCAAATTGCTTGGTGTACACGTTCAGATTGGGTCGCTCGGAAAGGCCCGACAGCACCCCCACGTGTTGGACCACAGTGGTTAAATATTGGTCGACGTCGTTACTTTTTGTCGTCTGAAAGATTCTGTTATGTTTTGACATCTGCCTGGCGATATATTTGCTTCAAAGTTCAAATTCATCGACGGCACCTCTTCACGATATCAGTAAGCTTTACCCAGGAAAAATCTCCCCTTCGGACTCACGCGCTCGGACGAAGGACGAGGGAATGCACGCTGAGCATATACATCTACCAAACGAGAGGTTGAGACTTGCGTAGTAGGCTGAACTGAATTTTATCGTGGTTCAGGTATGCGTTGGCGGTGGCGTCCGACATCTGTGATTCCAGTCTCCAACTTGTCTCGCTCGTGTGTCGTCCGAGTCTCGTCCGCAAAGTTCTTGAAGTACTGAGTGGGAAAAATCTCTTGTAACAGGTTTGATGGTGGAAGCCAAGTGGAAGCGATGGTCAGAGAGATGGTTGTGAGTCGGAGATGAATTCGTGACGCATTTTGGACGCATTAGCAAAACAACCTTGTACCTTCAACAGCCTCAGGAGTTACACTCACATCGCTGGCGTTACTTTATATATCGCAGCAATACCCCAGAGGACGATTAGTGGGCCCAAAACATAAACATATAATGAAAAAAATTATTAACGCAACGCACTCTCCCGCAATGTATTCGCCGGACTCCAAAGATTACTCCAAAGCTTCTCCCCGTCAACCACGTTGTCTATTTCTATGTAATAAGCTGGAACCTCCGTCTGCCGTTGCTGACAACTAACAGATAAATAACAAGCAGGGAACCGAGACAAAGTCGAAGGGCAAGAAATTGGTGACTGAAGTGATCGTTACAAAAAGACGAGATGGAAGAAAACCAAGAACCTGAGTAATTCCAACGAGCAAGGCACGCCCATGCACCAACGGTGACGAGAACGTAACCGGGAGCCAAGAAACGAGAGTCCGGACTGAGGAGTAGGGATGGATTCGCAGTCGACAATGAGGGAATGGGGGCATAGTGAAAGGTACGAGGCCAAAACAGACGAAGAAAACCTGTCCTCAAGCGCCCCAAGTCGCGCGATAGAAGTCAGCATACTTGTATTTCTTCTTAATTTCGGCGAGGAGGTACCAGCCAGGGGTGCAATAAGTAACGTGGTTTCTGGTCGAACCGCCTCTGTTGTCGCCTGAGTGGAGCTGACCGACGATATAAGCTTTCCCTTCCTTCATGTGCCAAACAAGAGAACCAGAGTCTCCCTTGGCAGCGAAGGCTTCGACACTGCGCTCGTTGCCGGCATTGTAGATGGCGAGCTCCCTGGATTCAACGCCGACTTCGTTAAGAGTGAAGGATTCGAGGCCGGAGCAGCGCCCGACAGTGAGGTCGGTGGCGTTTCCGTCTTTACCGACCATGAGGCAGCGCTCTCCTTCATTGTCGAACTCCGCAGGGACGGAGAGCTCCTCCCTCGTAGCACAACCAAAGATCCGAAGCATCCTAGCGTCGGGATACTTGAACGTGGTCGGACTCTGAGGATAGAACATACGCTTTAGCTGTGAAGGAGTGAACTTCGCTCCTGCATAAGGGTTGATTTCATCAGACGAGGGAAATACGACAAAGATAAAGCGCACCCAGATCAACGACATTCCCGACAAAGCCATCCGCGACCTTGGCCTTTGCAGCCAAGAATGCTCCCCAGTCGGAGGTGTACTTCGTATTTTCTTGGTCGACCTTTATAGAGGGGGCGTATTCGACGTATCCGATATTACGGTCTAGCCGCATGTTCGACCAGTACTTCGTAACCTCGACCTGAAGCTTCTTGAGTTCGGCGATGGATTCATTCTTCTTGTCCACCAGGTCTTGGTTATACACTACTTTTTCCGCATTCGCCGGGCTCTGATCTCCATTCGTCTGAAGTCTGACGACTTCGCTAGCAAAAATGTCAGCGTCAGTTTCGTGAGCCTCAATGGCATCTGCGATCTCATCGAGTCCACGTTGGAAGCGACGCATCCCGCAGACGCCAACGTGGTCCTTGGATTCTCCGCCCTTGAACACGTAGTCGACGGTGGTGTTCTTCCGAAGAACATGACAGTTGCTGATCCCGTACACCTTGTCGCTGGGATTACCCTTTTCGTCCTTGTTCTCGTGCATCCACAAGGTCAGAGTGCCCTGAGAGTCGTCCGTTTCCATACCCTCAGCGGTAAGTGGAACAGCGTGAAGAGCAGTGAGGAATCGCCGAGCATAGTGGGTGGGATCCCTGCTCTCGGCATGACGCATGAGCGGGGGACCTGCAAGCTTCTGCAAGACAGCCTCTCTCCACTCCACCTCAACGTCCTCAACACCATTCTTTCGCAGAAGAGCAAGGATCTCCTGAGAGGTGTTGTGGGCAGTGTCGGCTGGGGTCAGACCAGGCTTGACGCCAATCCAAATTACGACCGGTCCGAGAGTACCTTTTTCCTCCTCTCCCGGCGGACCGTGAGTGAAAAAGCGGGCCGTGTCAATGGAGGACCACAAGATATCCTGCGCCTTGATGATGTCACAAATCTGGGGCCCAACAACGTCCCAGACCTTGTTCAGCGGTGTATCAAAAACTCCGCGAACCGATTTTATGGGGAGATATGGAAATCGGCCGACGGGCTTGGAGAATGGCCTAGTGAGAGCATCGGTGCGGTACACAAGAATAGGGTGTTCGTCATTCCCAGTGATGCCGTTGTAATAGACAATCCTTTCGAAGGCGGTAGGACCGTGCTCGGAAGCCATGATGGTGTCGCTGGTGAAGGTGAGGGTGGATTCGCTGAAGGTTGGGATTCGTCACTATAAAACACCAAGTGAGATACTGTACAAGATGAAGGAGATCGCACCTTGTGAAATGAGATGAGAGCTACGAAAGGGTAGGTTTCAAAGCCTCACTCACATACATCTAAAAATAATTTGATAGATCCAAGCGTGAATCGCAAATTGCCTGCGGGCAAGTGAGAAGCGGCTCTAAGTTTAGTAGCGTCAGCGGAGGCGAAGAGTGCGCGTGTAAGCGATCTGAGGTCAACTGTCAGGTTGATACTTACAACAATCGTGGATAGGTTTGGGGTTCGCATACACTGCTTTTACTCAGAGGAAGTAACCGTGACATCTCATAAATCTAACCTGGAACCTCAACCGGTCGATTACAGACGATACTGATTAACGGCTGTGCAACTTCCTCAGACCATTCCTTTGGTACCTGGGACTTCTCTGACCGGCGTTCTCGATAAAGTTGCATTACTTCCTTTCGGATGTATGTCGCAGTATTGCTGCCCTGATCATACCATTTTATCATAGCTTCAAGTGTTTTCTCATCGCTGATATTGAAAACGTAGACTTTCTCCATGATGAGGGTCGTGTCTTCGCATTGCCATAGTCAGCCTACAGGCCCATTACAACCAAGAAAACATTCACTAACCTGCCACCCGCTGTTCCCACCTACAGAAAGCGAGCAAATCGGGGTGGCCATTCACCTCAGCGAAGTCGGATGATTTTGGGTGGCCTATGAGACGTCGGCTATCATCCAAATGTTTTTCCAAGAGGCGAATAAGCTTGTGGGAAGGAAACATATCAATGAACCTGATATTACAGTGGATCGTGTCGCCTACCTTGATTGGTGCTTGAGGCCCTGATGTAGGGTCGGTCCAAAAGGTTTCCCAAGTCTTGATGAAAGGTCCGCCACGGAACATCTTCTCGGAGTGATTTTTATAATAGTTCCCTGAGGAAACAACGGCCGTTTAAAAAGGGGTACATATACTTATTGAGAACCAACAATTCAATCCATTTCTAGATAGTAGAGAAACAGGGGTCAACGTTCAATGAATGGAGCACGCAATGATGAAGGCGAACGATACCTACGAAGCAGACGTGATGAGTTTAACTTTACTATCGGCACTTTGGGCCGAGGCGAAAAACGTCCGAAGGTCATAACCGCTTCGTTCTTGACGCTGCGTTTCTGTCGCAGATAATACGTTCAGCGTCTCATCAATCAATCGGGCTAAGCGACTATCGTCTGGAGCCGACTTGTGCACTTAAAAAGTAACTTCTTGTCAAACACGACGCAACTTTGGACGCCAAGTTAATTCACCTTCGGATAGAGTCACAACGGCCCTTGGTGGATGCTTCATGCTCTCAAGGGGTTTCTTGTAGTGCTGCTCGAATCGTTTGTCCGCCTCAACAACAGCAATTTTCTCGAGCTCGTCATCATCAACTTCTTCATCTTCTTCTTCAGCTTTTTCTTCCAGTTTCTGCTGCATATCTTGTAGAAATGTATCGAACTTGGTCACAATGGCCACGACCGGTACTACGGGAAACGTCATGTTTGAAGAGGATAATTCACCTTCAATGAACCTTACCTGTCAAAGGCATCGAAAAAAAATCCTTCTCTGCTTGCTGGATGGGCCGGGAATTCATCTCCATGCAGTACCTGCGACAATTTGACTGAGCTTGTCCACAACGAGAAAAAGGAGCAGGACGAACCACACCAAATGCAATTTCTGATTTATGTCTTTTGCCCGTGAACGACTATCGATGAATTTCCAAACAACCTCCACCTCTGCCTGCTTTCCCGCTTCAAATCCCTCGGAATCATGCGCAATAATCTTGTTGTTCCCCTCGAATTCGATTTCTTTTTCAATGTTATGGGTACCTCTCTTAGGACATCGACTTTGGTTTGTGCGTGATACTACGAGTCCAACGACTTTGCACTCACCGTGGTGCTGGGCGCGTCCACCTCAAATGACAAATATGAAATGTAAGCCTTGCGAGAGCTTGGTCACTCTTACCATATTCCCGCCACACACCTGGAACCAAAAGTTAGTGGCTTCATTAGACGCAAAAGCTGGTTTGAAAAAGCTAACTTTATACAGAATTGTGGTTTTACCGCACCCCGTTTTCCCGATGATCAACAACCTGAACTTTTCAAGGGGAGGGGGCGCAACGGCCACGGCTGCTGCCAGTAATCTTTTCAATTCTTGCTGTTCGGAGGCATCTAGTTGAGGCGCTTTTTCAGATTCTACATCTTCTTCATTTTTCGATGATGACTTTAACAGTCCCTTAAGTTTATCGAACCTCTTTGGAGGGGGTTTTGGACGGGGGCGCAATGCCTCGCGAGTTGCAATTTGAAACACTTCGCGGACCCCCTGTCCAGTCTTGCTAGAGCATTCAACATAGTGCCTCGCTCCGATTTTCTTGGCGACTTCCTGTCCCTGGAATGAAACGGTAGTGGGCAAGGGTATCCATTCCGAGTTTAACTCAACCTACTTCTTCAACGGTCACTGGATGTTGCCTAGTCCTCCGTAGTTCGTTAATGGTTTTGGGATCTCTTCTTAGATCTTTTTTTACACCTACCAGGATGATAGGGAGTCCACGACAGAAGTGGTTGATCTCAAGAATCCACTGTGATAATCGAGAAATAAATATCAGCACCAAAGTATTGAAGAACCGTCCCGCACCTTCTCTACGACGTTGTCCAGAGAATCGGGACTAGCAATGTTGAAGCATATAAGAATAACGTGCGCGTCGGGGTA